TATATATATACATTTTTTTTCTTTTCTAGATTGCCTTTGCGATTCCATATGTGATGGTGAGTTGCAACCATTTTTCTAAACAGTATTTCATTTTAGGAATGGACATTGTAACGAGAATAATCTACAGCTGCCTTTCATAGACAATAAACCAATAAGTTCCTATAAGTTGTGACGGTATATTGACACATATAGTTACTGTATTTTGAATAAGAAAGGTTGTTCCACTAGTTTTTTCAACTTTCCTGGACTAAATAATCATTTGTTTATCCATTAATAGGTCTACCGTCAAATTGTAACAGAAGGAATGGTAGTTTATGTTATGCTGCCGAACGCTAGAAAAATTCTCTTAATGAACTTAAGATCATTTTGTAATGTTAATATTTACAAAAGATCAGTTAAAACGCATGTTTTTGTCTAATTATCTTGTCTCTGTTTTTTTGTGTGTGCCCTTTGTTGTCTTTTTTTATGTTTATGTTTTCCTCAGACTGTATTCTGTGTGGTAATAGGTGATTATATTTTCTGGAACTGATGTGAGTCGGTTGGTCAAGTTAGTTGAAATTTGGTGTAAACTGGGCTTGCCTATTTACAACCCGGACGTGTTCATGTCGTGCGGACGTGTTTTATATTGAGCTCCTCAGTTGCTATTCTAGTTTCATGTCTTGATATATTCGTGATCAATTTTTGATGTTTTTGATCTGATCTGTGGTTTCTTTGTATTTCTGTGAACGTTTTTTTGCTTTCTTATTACTATTGAGGCGTTTTACGTAAGTTTTTTCCTGTATCTTGTTGACGGGTTTTCCGACATTGAAGCCAGCGGAATTCTAGGTATTTGCATTTTGCATTTTGCACCATACAAGCCTGCACGGAGTAGAGCCCTGGCTTCCATCGAGCTCCTTTTCTTGTTTTTTACGTTCCTGCTTTTTGATGTTAACCTGATTTGACTTTGCTGTTCGTGATCTGGTATGTACTTTTTATTCTTGTATCTGTGAATTATATGTATGGTGTGTTTTGAGCAATTGGTGTTTGATTCTTGAATTGTGACATCTTTGCAAACGGAATTGACTTGCATTTCGCCGTACTGCTGGTATAGCCTTTGTGTATACCAGGTTGGCAATTGGTTTATTACTATCTTTGTTAACAGTTTTGCTACTGAAAGCTTCATGTATTGAAGATGAGGACACTACCGGATTTTGATGTAATGAATTATATTGTAAATTGTAGACCAAGCAAGTTATTTAAACAAGGAGAAGCAAAGCGTATTGTATATTTGCATTGCAACGCCTACAAGTCAACAAGTATAAAAAAAATACTTCACTACATTTAAATCTCGGGCCGATTCTTAATTTTACTTATTGGACTCATACTTTCGGGAGATATACATCCTTGTCCTGGTCCAAGAACAAAAAAATGCCCATGTATTGCATGTTCGAAAGGAATTATTAAATCAAGCAAAGAAATAACATGTGACGGATGCAACGGATGGATACATATTAAATGCGCTAATTTTCCATTGCAAAAATACAAAGCATTGTCTCACGAATAGCGAGGAATTAAAATTCGAATGCCAAAGATGTCTGCTCAAACACTAGCCATTTCACACCTATGACGATGCCAAGAGCTTAGCGAAGAAGACCGCCATATAACAAATCAACATAATCCGCTATCAAAATACTCTGTTAATGTTACTGAACCATTTAAGCGAAATGGGCTGCCCTGGCCGCACCTCAATATCCGGCGTATTATGCCCAAGATCGATGAAATTCGCATATTAGCCAAAACATGAAATGCTGCAGTTATTGCGATTAATGAAACGTAGCAAGATGAAACTGTAAACAACAAAGAAATCGAAATTGAAAATTACAACGTTGAACGCAAGGACAGAATTACACAAACTAAAATGGGTGGTGTTTCTTTATATATTCGTAATGATATCTCTTACAATGTAAGGCAGAATCTTTACAACAAAGAATTATAAACTCTGTGGATAGATATTCTACTACTTAAAACTAAACCAATTCTTTTTAAGTTGGGGTACAGGCCTAATCAACAGCGTCTATTCTTTTTTAATTAGAAGATGATTTTAATATCTCTAAAAGCTTACAAGATCAGGAAATTATCCTTATGGGCGACTTCAATGTTAATGTGGCATCATCCAATAATTACTGGGTTAAAAAAAATTTCAAAATATTTAATCTCACCCATTTTAATGATTATACTAGGGTCACAGAGACAACCTCGACAGTCATTGATCTTATATTTGCATTAGATCCAGGAAAAATTTCTCAATTCGGTGTCTTGTTTTTGGAAGTGTCTCCGGTATTCTTAAAACGAACTTTAGTCGTAGTTCGAGTTAAAACTTTAAAATTACGTCATTTCTTAAAACGAACTTCGACTAGCACTACGACTAAATGGCGTTAACCTCGATTAAATGATTCCTCCGCAGGCCGATTTTATTTAGTCAGCCTAGAGTCAGGCTAAATCGCCGACTTGAAATATTTACCTCACTAAAAACGTGTTTTTTTTATCACGATAAGGTGAAACAAATAAAAACGATTGTATACGCAGGTTTGATATATCTTCGGTGTGTTAAACAGAAGAGACATCAAGTTTAGCTTCCAAAAGGAGAAATTAACATGTTTCTCTAGCCGCATTTGCACGTAATCCTCTCGCGTTGCAATCACCTAGCTTCACCATAACAACAACAAAGATGGCGCCGCCCTCGCTCGGGCTCAACTATAATAGTTCTCCAAAGAAAGCTAATTTTCAGTGTCTGTTCAAATTGTCTATGATCATATGTTAACAACTAATATAGTTATTATTATAGACAATTAATTAAGGGAATGATGGTCTATTATGAATTTTGAGGAAGTACGTTTTTGAACCACAGACGGCAGCTTAATATTCATCCGCGTTACCGGATCTCTAATTTTTCGTCTGCTATTAAAGTTAGCCCTTTTCATTGATTAGTTTGATAGTCGTGGCTTTCCAGTCATCTTCAGTTGAACTAAAACTATGACTTGATTTAGTCGTAGTTAAAACTTCGACTACATTATTTGTGAATACAAATTGAAGTTAAAGATGCAACTAGCACTAAATGAAGTTCTAGTTCGAAGTTCGACTAAAGTTTGTTTTAAGAATACGGGCGGGAGTGCTCACTTCTTGACCTAAGGTAGTAAAAAATTAGTCATAAGTTAAATGTAAAAAAACAAAATAATTACGATTAGATCTATGAAGGGATATTCAGCTGAAAAACTTAATTCTAAACTTATTGAAATCAATTGGACCGATGTACTAAATGCTATTGACGTTATTGCCTAGTGCACATTTAAGACGAAATTTTTAGAAGTAATTGATAAGTTGCTCCTCTAAAAAGTGTAAGGACTAAGCAACAATCTGAGCTAAGGTTGACTACTAAAAGTAGAGATCTTATAATTCAAAGAGATAAATGTTTATCGAAATTTAATTAAAAAAAACCAGAGACAGTGGTTTTCTTACGCAATTGAAAAATCTTAGAAACACCGTACGTTATAAAATGAAAAAAGTAAAAATCGAACTATATTTCTGACTAACTTAGTGAAAATAAAAACAACCCCAACAAATTTTGGAAACCTTTAAAAGTCTTGGTGCTGGCAAGAACGTTAAAAAATTAGTAACTTTCCTTAAAATGTATGACTCATTCTTATATGACAAACAATTCGTGACTGGTTATTGGAATTCTTTTTTTGTTAATACTGCAACTATATTACGAAATACGTTGCCAAACCAACCTTGAATTTTTAATGAAAGTCATGGTAAAAGAATTCTTAAAAAAATGTAAAACCTGTTGATCTTGTACTAAGGGAAGCTGATGAAGATCAAGTTCTTGACGTCATTAACAAACTTAATGTTAACAAAGGAGTTGGATTAGATTCCTTACCTGCTGGGTTTGTTAAAAATTGTGCTAAGAATATTGTTCAGCCGTTCACATCCATTATTAATTTATCTATTAGAACTGGATGTATTCCTAAAGACTGAAAATGTGCCTGGGTTTTACCCGTCTATAAGAAAAATGATAAGGTAGATGATGGAAATTATCGGCTTATTATCTATATTATCTGCAATTTCCAAAATTGTTGAACGTTTTATAATTATTTATATGATCAAATAATGAGCTACTTAACACCTAACAATATCCTTTACGGTTTCCAGTGGGGCTTTAGGCCATCGCTCTCTACTGATACTTGCTTGATTCATCTGTCTGATTAAATAAGTAAAAAATGGGATAACGGTGAATATACTGGTATGTTAGTCTTAGGTTTAAAAAAAAAGCGTTTGACACCGTTCAACATGATATTCCTTTGCATAAATTAAGGAAACCGGATATTACCTTTAATAATTGCAAGATAAATGCAAGAACTTGTATTAAGTACCTGGGTCTTGATCTTGAACAGCACCTTAGCGGTAAATCCACTGGTACCAAAGTTTTAGGTAAGGTACATGGTAGACTTAAATTTCTCTTTAGAAATAGAAAATATCTAACGCATAAATCTATCAAATTGCTTGGATCTTAACTTATACAATGTCACTATGACTAGTGCTGTAAGTAGTTCTCCTCGCTTTCTCAAAAACTTAAAAATAAACTTCTAACATCCCAAAATAAGGTTATAAGATGTGTTTTGGGACTTCATCCACGAACCCATGTCGATTATAATGAATATATAAAATTAAATTGGCTGCCTGTTTCAACAAGAGTTGCTGAGCGTAAATGTATTTAAAATGATAAATGGCGTATCCCCTGTATTATTTAAATAAAGGTATTGAGTTTACTAACCTATTTTATAACTACAATACTTAATGTCAATTTATAAACAAAAACGGGTACACATATAGATTCTCATTCATAGATACCGCTATTTATGAATGGAATAAACTACCTTATAATGTTCAAAATGCACAATCCATATACACATTCCAAAAACTCATTAAGAACCACTATTTTTCTGAACTTCATAATATATAGTTTATTTTTTATGATGTAAATTTTTGTTAAATCTGACTCTGATGTTTTGAAAATGTATATTTATTGTATTGTTTCCATATTGTTCTATTATTATTCTGTGATTTGTAGTATTCTCAATTAGGGACCACAGAGGAAATAATTTGCTTTCATAAATAAATAAACCCAAAGGAAAGGCACATTATAAATGCCTGGTAACAGTAACAGTAAATGCCGGAAAGCGTCAATAGAGTAGTATGTAAATACTGGAAAACGTCCTTAGAGTCGATTGATATGATACAGTTTAATATTATTATAACTAAAACACAGACAAATCCTGACAGCTACCTTTGTAGCCCTAATAAATTTTAAAAGTCAAAACAGCTACCTTTGTAGCCCTAATCAATTTTTAAAATTAAAGGTCATTTTTTATTAAAATTATTGAAAAGCCATTAAGTTACCAAACTTTCATTTCCACTTTAAATGCGGGCATAGTCATTATTATAATACCAGTCACTGAAAAAACAACTAATACTAAATAAATGTGTCAAAAATGATATTAGCTCTTCTTCACAGTACACCCAGGTAGCAAGTAAACATGGCCCCATTATAGGAAATGTATGGGCCAAAAAGTTTGGCCTCTACGGGAATGAGCTGCCTGTGCACCATAATTCCTTAAGGGTCCTATAAAGTTGGCTCAAATGGAAATGTTGGCCTTTCAAAAGATGTGTTCCTTAAGGTTTGCATTTGACACCCATATTGGTTAGCCCAAATTAATTCTTGGGCCTATTTTTGGCTACACCTGGGTTTTTAAAGGATTGAATAGCGGTTGAAATATAATTCGTATAAATTAGCCCATATGAGAAAGAGCTTCCTGTGCACCCTAAATTCATAAGCGTCCCATAAAGTTCTCCTTAATTATTTTATAGGCCCTTTAAAGGATATATTGGGGCCCCTTAGGTTTGCATTATGGTTTCATTTGGGACCCATATCAGTTTTACCAAATTAAATCATGGGGTTATTATGGGCTATATCTGGGTTTTTTGGGATTGAAATGTAAGGGGCCACTATAAATCCATATTTATTCCATATAATTATGATTTCTCATAATTTACCCACCGGGACAGACTCACAAAGAGCCCTTATGAATGTTCCTATTTCTTTCCCTCAAGTGCCTCAAATGTCTTAGGCTATCTGGGCCTGCCCATATTTTAAAATATATATTAAAAATGTTTTGGTCCTGATATCACTCATATTTTATGGGTGCGTACCTTTGGTCCGAGGGTCTTTGGTCCGAAGGCCATTTGTTCCGAAGAGCCTTTGGTCCGAAGGCCCGTTTTTCCAAAGGTTCTTTGGTCTGAAGTCCCGTTGGTCCGAATTAGTGACTTTTTTTTCAGGAATTCAGGTTATAAGGCAGTAAAACAATTCCTTACAATTGATGGAATAAATTAAGAAAGATCACTTTTCTAAAACAATATTCCCAAACATTTTAATTGACACCCGACCACGCTCAAATTGAACTCGTCGAGAAACGTGACCCAACCCCCACAAAAAAATCATACCCTGCCCTTCATTTTTCTCCCAGATGCTTTCGCCGCCACTGTCAATGTGTCTACTTTGTAATAGTGAGAAAGTAGTTAACTGTTTCCCATCGGCCATAATTAAATTAATATTTTCCAAACACTGGATGGCAGTTACTTAATTTCCCTATCGTTTTGCCATACCTGGTTTGTCTAAGTACATTTAAAAAAAAGGGTGTACATCATCCTCAACAACATTACATATTGGACACCTAAGATTCCCCACATAAACAATCTTTTCTTTGTGGGAACGACATTGTGTAAAATTTGAAAATTCAACTGTGCTAATTTGTTTTCTTTAATTTATTTTACTTTCCACGTCCAAGTTGACTGCCAGTCAACTGAGGACTCAAAACATTTTCCCACTTTTTGGCACTTTGAAGGTTCCATATAAATTTGGTTAGTAAAACAGATATATAATAGTTTACAATTCATATTGCACCAATCATTTTTTTGGTTTAGTATTTCCTGACCACCATTCCATTCTTTACCAAAGGAAATAAATGTTTTTCATGTGCTAGGAATGGCACTCAGCAAACAAGAGTATTCTGAGATCCAGTTCGACTTGAGTTGTAGTTTTGTCAGTACCTCAAGTGTTGTAACAAATCTATTGTCTATTACTATATCTCTAATAGTATTTATTCCTGATCTAATCCAATTTCTAAGCAGCAAGGAAAGCCCAATAAATTTAATCAATATATAACCCCAAATTTGTTCGTCTAACACTTATCTTTTCTTATTTTCCATTTACCTAACCACATGGCATTTGTTTTTTTTTTTGTTGAGGCTTAAACCAGAAAGCTTTCAAACTCTTCAATTTTTTAGATATTTCTTTTAATCCACAAATCATCTTTCACAAACAAAACCGTATCATCAGCTACTTGGGCTATTCAATAATTAAGTCTTCTTTACTTGGTAATTATGATATTATTATTCAAAGCATCACCTCTTAATTTATTGCCATGATTTCTGCAACCATTATAAATAGCAGAGCAGACGAAGGGCAGCCTTGTCTGATGCCCCTATTCATTTTAAAACTCCTAGATAGTCTTCATGCCCACCCTTTTTAAAAATAAGATTGATTACGCCTCTACGTTGTGAGTGGGACAACGATCCAGTTTTCAGGCTCATGTTAAGAGCATCGCACACTATTGGACCACATTTTTTTGCCAGAATTGCTGGTAGAATTCTACAGAACCTGGAGGCTTAATTTTTTTCATTTTTTTTTATAGCATTATGGCATTCACTAAAGTAATATTGCCTTCACATTCCTGCCTTTCAGCATTTATTATTTTTTTGGATTTTATTGATTTTAAGTATATTTCGACATTTTTCTTTTTATATATTCTGGGATGCGTATAATTTTTCTAAATGCTGAACTTGTTCAGACAAGATTTCACTTGCTTTTTGGACATATGTCCGATCCGATCTTTTTATTCTCCTTCTTAATACCATTATTTCTTTCCAGACCAATAACATATTTTTCTCCTTCCTCCACCCATTTTGTTCTTGATCTAACTTGAGCACCTTTGACTTCGTATGTGTATATCGATTATAAATCTTTTTTTTTTCTCTTGGAGTTCATTTTTAATTTGCTCACTACAACTTATGTTATTCATCAACTTCTCATTTAATTTCTCAATAACTTTTTTTTAGGTTTTCTTTTTTTAGATTTTTTTTTTTTTAGACTTTTTGCATTTTTTGATACATTTTTGCGCATTGATCTCTGTATTTTTTTATCCTCATATTTTATAAATGGCCTTAATGCTAACGAATCTATGATTAAAAATAAAATTGGTTGTAAAGCTCGAACTCTCTCGTCTTGGAATAAATGTTGCAGCTCTAAGTGAAACATGGCTTACTGGAAGTGGATCTGTTTGCGAGGCAAATTATACCTCCTTCTGGTGCGGTCATCCTGACACCGTAAGACCTAAGCATGGAGTTGGTTTTGCTGTTCATAATAGGTTACTTTCATGTATTCAGCAACCTATTTCAATTTCACCCCGTCTCATGACACTCCGAATGTGCCTAAAATATGGCTACATTACTATAATATCCGCCTATGCACCTACACTAATGGACAGTACTGTGTCCAAAGAGGAGTTCAATGAAATCATTAGTGAGACCATACTCAATATCCCAGCTGGAGATAACTTAGCACTTATTGGCGATTTCAATGCTCGCATCGGCTCTGATTTCAACTCATGGAGAAACGTGATCGGACCACACGGCATTGGAAGAATGAATGAAAATGGGCAACGTCTCCGTGAGCTTTGCGCAGACCACAGTCTCTGTGTTGCCAGCACATACTTCAAGGGTCGTATATGCTCTAAAACCACCTGGATGCATCCTCGTTCCCACCGTTGGCATTAACTCGATCACATCATTGTCAGACGTCGTCAACTGCGTAGTGTAACCCATTGCCGTAGCTTGCACTCCATACTTCAAAGCCAAGACCCACACCTGCAATCAATATCTCTTTTACAAAAAAACGATGCGAATGTTGCCAAGTTGCAAGAACTTCTTGCCGGACATTTTGCAACAACCAGGCCCAGTAACCCAGAAGCTGCTTGGTCTCGACTTCGTTCTGCAGTTACAGAATGTGCTCTCAGTGTATTTGGACGTAGCACACGTAAACAGCCTGCTTGGTTTACCGCAAATGCTGTCCTATTACTTCCAACTCTTCAGGCAAAACGCATAGCAAGAGATAAGGCTCGAATACAAAACACCCGTTCTGCAAAAGCTGTTTATAGGGCAGCAAAAAACACCCTCCAGCGATTAACAAGAAATGCCTTGCATTTTTATTGGAAGGATCTCAGTGATCGTATCCAGATGTGTTCAGACACCGGTGACCTGCATGGCCTCTATAATGGTATTAAAGAAGCTATAGGGCCAGTTCCAAAGAAGAGTGCGCCTTTGTTATCTAGGGCTGGAGAAGTCCTCACTGAATCTGTAGACCAGCTTAAACGTTGGATGGAGCATTTCAGCTCTATTTATGCAACCGATTTGGAGATCAACTCAGCAGCACTTTCGACAATTCAACAGGTCGCAACCATTCATGATCTTGACAGAACCATCACTAAAGGGGAGGTGCAACAAGCCATACATGGGAAAAAGAACAATTAGTCTCCAGGACCAGATGGTATTCCACCAGAGGTGTTTAAGGTAGGAGGTGATGTTTTAGTAACAGAACTTCTTGAGGTATTTCATATCTGCTGGCAGTCAAAGTCTATTCCTCAGGACCCAAAGGACTCCAACTTCATAACACTCTACAAAAACAAGGGAAGTCGACAAGACACGTGTACTTTTGCCTAGACTTCAAGTTATCGCTGCTAGAATTTTGCCTGAAAGCCAAAGTTGTTTCCGACCATCCCAATCCACGGTTGACATGGTTTTTGCACTCAGACAACTGCAAGAGAAATGCGTGGAGCAACAGCGTCCTCTGTATGTTGTTTTTTGTTGATTTGTCAAAAGCGTTTGACAATGTTAGTAGATCAGGTGTTTACTCCATCTTGAAGCGATTAGGCTGCCCAGATACACTACTGTCATTGCTGATTGGATTACACCAAAACATGAAGGCGACCGTACAATTTAATGGCAACAGATCTGAGGCATTTGACATCAGTCGAGGTGTGAAGCAAGGCTGTGTCCTTGCGCCTACGCTCTTTGGTATCTTTCTTTCAGTTCCTCTGCAGCATGCCTTTCCAGAACCATCTGGCATCCTGTTGCATACTCGAAGTACAGGAGGTCTCTTTAAACTATCAAGGCTTCGTGCATAGACAAAGATTAAGCAAATTCTTGTCCATGAGCTTCTGTATGCGGATGATGCTACTATTGTTGCCCACTCCAAGTCTGAACTACAAGAATCCTGCAGGTCCTTTTCAAAGGCCTGTTCAGATAATGGAATGATGATTAACGTCGGTAAAACAGTAGTTCTAGCCAAAGGCATAGACGTAGAACCACTTAACATCCTTATTGATGGAAAATCCTTAGTTGTTGCTAAACAATTCGCTTATCTTGGATCAACAATCACTGACACAAACTCATTAGATGCTGAGCTTGATACACGCATAGGTAAAGCAGCAACCACTTTTGGAAGATTGCGTACTCGTGTATGGAACAACCGGAATCTTACCATCAAACTGAAGACTCGCATCTACATTGCTTGTGTCTTAAGTGTTTTACTTTATTGCTCCGAATCTTGGTCCACATACCGTTATCAGGAGAAAAGATTAAACTCCTTTCATTTCCGTTGCCTGCGATCCATTCTTGGTATATCTTGGCGTGACCGTGTACAAACAGCTTAGTGTTAACGCTAACTGGAACAACTGACATTTTTACTATGCTTAGAAGACGGCGTTTGCGATGGATTGGCCATGTAGTTCGACAGGATGAAAGTCGCCTACCAAGGAACATCCTTTACGGTGCACTAGCGAATTCACCTCGTCCTCGTGGACGTCCTAAACTTCGTCATAAAGATGTCATTAAGCGTGACCTAACTGCGTTCAATATTCCTTTTGTCACATGGGAGACCATGGCAATCGACCGATCTCTGTGGCGTTCTGCTTTGACAAATGGTAGCCAATACTCATCTAATGCGTATGTTGCTGAATGTGAAAGAT